CGGCTGATTGTGACAACATGCACTCGTGGCTATGGAGACATTTTTTAAGTTTTACCTGATTTGGATTATGCTGCTTAGAATCTTTGTAGGGCTAAAATGTGGGTTCACATTACAGCAGTTACATGCGAGCTTTAATGGTTGCATATGCATTTCCAGGCTCAAATAAAAATGCTGCTTTTGATATTTCAAATTCTGGATGTTTTGGTACTTTGTTGTTTGATGATTTATCTTTTTTTAAATTATTTGTCTTTTCTTCAAACCTAAAGGTTCCAGTGTCTTCATTACATTTTCCAAGGTTGACTTGTTCATGATAAATGTAGGTATCCATGGTGTCACCAGAACTTTCAAGCCACTTGAAATTAGGTCTATTATTATTTGCTTGTTTTTCCTATCCATTTTCGATGCTTCATTTCTATTAGCCAGGTTCATGTAATATATGCAAACTGTGCGGGAACAAAAACAGGGTAGAAGAAAAGGCAGAACAAAGCTTGAAAGCTCTACAAAAAATGTTAGTTTTATGTCGAAAGGAAGAAGTGAAACCTACTAGGGATATGAAAAAATGTTTAAATTCTTTCTTCCTGGGATTCTGAGAAACTGAAAGTATCAGGAAATGCATCTATTTTTGAAAAGTGTGTATTTCATTGAGTGAAACAGAAAGGAAGAAGGAGGAGGAAGAGCAGGAGCTGAGGACCTATGAAACATACTTGTCATAGAAAAGACTCACTAAATTCCTCATCAGTTTAGGCTGATTCCAGCTGACAATTCTATGGCAAATTGGAAAGCCCAACCCAGATAACTCCCCTCTAGCTGACAATAAGACAAGCTTCTTTCTCCCTTACAATCTCCCTTGTAATTTGTTCAAAATATACCTGCAGCATTAGCATCCATTACCTTTTAGCATAAGGGACGTGGTGGCGCTGCGGGCTAAACCGCAGAAGCCTGTGCTGCAGGGTCAGAAGACCAACCAGTTGTAAGATCGAATCCACACGACGGAGTGAGCGCCTGTCGCTTGTCCCAGCTCCCGCCAACCTAGCGGTTCGAAAGCATCTTGTAATTTGTTCAAAATATACCTGCAGCGTTAGCGTCCATTACCTTTTAGCATAACAACACGCACACAAACGCGCACAGAGGAATCAGAGGAAAGACAGGAATGTTAAGAAGGTGCAAGCAAACCATCCAGTGCTTCAAAATTCTTACCTGTCTTATCAGCAGTCATCCTTTTTTATGAAAATTGCTCCATTTTGCAGAAATCGTATAATTTATGAAAAAAGAAATTTGTTGAGGAAAGAAAACTTGGGTTGTCTGAACAAAACATAATTTTCTCGACAGTAAGCACAGTATTAAGTCTTGCCTGCAATTTTCTTCCTTGTGGGAAGAATGTACACATTTCTCATCCTCATTTTTCAAGACTGAACAAACCAGTATTTATATCCCTGTTCCCAACAAGTCTGTTGAACCTTTACCTTTACCTTTACCTTTTAGCACAACAACACACACACAAAAACACACACAGAGGAATCAGAGGAAAGACAGGGGAATGTTAAGAAGGTGCAAGCAAACCATCCAGTGCTTCAAAATTCTTACCTGTCTTACCAGCAGTCATTCTTTTCTATGAAAATTGCTTCATTTTGCAGAAATTGTATAATTTATGAAAACAGAAATTCGTTGAAGAAAGAAAACTTGGGTTGTCTGAACAAAACATAATTTTCTCGACAGTAAGCACAGTATTAAGTCTTGCCTGCAATTTTCTTCCTTGTGGGAAGAATGTACACATTTCTCATCCTCATTTTTCAAGACTGAACAAACCAGTATTTATATCCCTGTTCCCAACAAGTCTGTTGAAGAATGGCAAAGAATTGCAAATTTCAAATAAGCTCCAAAGCCTACATGATGTTGTATTCTCTGTGTTCTGACACAGTCATCTCCATCTTTCTGCAAACATAATTTTCTCGACAGTAAGCACAGTTTTCAGCCTTGCCTGCAATTTTCTTCCTTGTGAGAAGAATGCACACATTTCTCATCCTCATTTTTCAAGATTGAACCAACAAGGATTTATATCCCTGTCCCCAACAAGTCTGTCGAAGAATGGCAAAGAATTGCAAATTTCAAATAAGGTCCAAAGCCTACATGATACTGTATTCTCTCTGTTCTGACACAATCATCTCCATTTCTCACCTGATTTGTCACATCCTTATAGAGTCTGACTAGATTTATCAAAGTTTTCCTTGGCTCTTCTTGGGACTGAACACAAGGTTATGATTTAAGATCGATAGTTTTCACAGAAAGGAAAGAGCCTGTTCTAGTCCCCTGAGATTCTGTGGCACCAAGGTGACAAGTAAAGAAAGCAAAATCCTATACACCTATTCTTTTCTGGAAAGAGCATTCCTCTGCTCTGATCTGTAGGCCTGAAAGCACATTTTCCTCCATGACTCCACTGAGCATACCTTCTCCATTTTTTCCTCTACATATTCGACTTCTCTATCCATTGTTTGTTAACTGACATGCATCGAGCCCATACCTTTCTCTCATTTATGCAATCCAACCCTTTTCTCCAGTTTTTCAGCTGGATAACACATTTTTGTGTGAAGTCTGTAGGCTAGAAAGAACGTTTTCCTCCACCACTCCACTGAGCATAGCTTCTCCATTTTTTCATCTACATGTTCAACTTCTCTATCTATTGTTTGTTAACTGACATGCACCAAGCCCATACCTTTCTCTCATTTATGCAATCCAACCTTTTCTCCAGTTTTTCAGCTGGATAACACATTTTTGAATCTCCTAATGACCTTTTTAAAATACCATACATAATCTGGCCAAGTTCCTTCCCTCATGAAGTTCAACCCCCCCCCGCCATGCCTGCATTTAGCTAGCGGAATATCTACAGTGGCAAATAACATTCAAAGCACATGGGTTGCCTAGATAAGACCTAGAGACATCTCAAATGCTAGATAAGGGTAATGTCTACATTTTCACATGAAGTTTACATAGAATGGTCAAATGATCTTGGCAGCTAAACCAAGAAGCCGTTACTTATCATTGCAATAAGTAGATAAGTAGGTATGGTGATAGCTCAAGATCCGGACATAGTTAGAACTGGCCCTCTAAAGCCAGTGGGAGTTCAGTTGATTCGGATGGATTTATGTGTATGTGTGAGAACTATAATTCTAATTCAATTGATGTTCTCACAATAAGACTTTTTAAACATACTGAATATAGTATCTGCTGAAAGGAACTTTTGCCTTTTGGCTTTAAAGACAATTGGGGCCGTGGGATTCTAGCTGTGAGGTCTCAACCCCCCTTTCTCAGTATTGACAATTCCCATCACATTCCTTGCCCAAAGCAAAGGTAACAATCCCCAAGATAAATCCTGATTTGCTACCTCCCCTGTTGGCACTGAAGTTCCAGAGAAAAGTACAAAAAAGCGACTACAGAAACCTTCAGTTTCCCCAGACCAGAATGTCAACCTTACAGGTCTACTTGATTTCCATATCACCTTCCTTACACTCTGTACAATATTTCCTATAGTTTGCATAATGTTCTATGGATCTTCTTTTCAGCAATAATCTATTTAACTATGAAGCTCATAGCTGAAATTCTCATCCAGTTCTTCTCAAGAGTGTGTAGAGTCTTACAGAATCAGGATCTCCTCCTTTTAGCTTCAGAGATGATTATCTTGATGGCCCATAAAAGCACAAGCTAACAACTCATTCATCACAGAGGATTTGTGGACATGATCTCTGGTGCATCTTGCAGTCAGTTCTGAGAGCAACACAGTTTTTTCCTCAGGACGTGAAGAGCATAAGTCTTTACTTCACTTGCTTTTCAGCAAAGAATACTCCAACACACCTTGGACACTTTCATCTTCTCATCATCTTATTAGAGAATTGCTCATGTCTCCTTGATCTCAGATATTCTCAGATGTCTTATCTCTTGCTATTCTCAGGTATGTGAAAGGGAGGGGTGTTTTTCTTCTTCTTCTTCACTGAGAAGTTAAATGATTAAATTGCTGACATGAAGAACAAGTAAGATGTTGGGTGAGATTAATTGCAAAGGCTGCTTCAGATCCCAGGGGTATGACTGAGAGGGGGTGGCCTTGGAGCATGCAAGCATCTTGTCCACATCATCAGGTATCAAATCAATCCCATTTATTAAGAACTCTCCATTCTAGACCTTTTTACAATATTTTCTGACAATATTTATTAAGAACTCACCATTCTTCCCCATTTCCTTTCTACTGTTCCAGCTTTTACATAGTCTTAAATTTTAAAAATCCCAGTAAAATTGAATTGAAATAGCTGATAATCTAGAGAAAAATTGATGCCTTTTCTCCATCTTAGGTTGAATTTTTTTAGAGTAGACATTTAATGAAAATAGTCTTACTTGACCCTGACGTTTCTGTCCTGCTACTTTAAGGAGACTGATGGGCTCTGCAGTGTGAATCCAAGTTATGTCACCATAGCTGTGTCTACAAAGCAGAAAGCCTCAGTGTGCTTCACTCCAAGGCAAGTACGTATAAGCTTTTCATCCAAGAGGGGTATGTGATAAGGTACACCTTCTTCTCTTGCTTTGCTGAAATTCTTGCCACTAAGTATCAGTGTTTGAAATTAATAAGGAATGATTGAGATGAAAATGGAGCACAAGGACATCAAATTCCTGTAGCACATGGGTGAAAGGATATATAGAAGTCTTCTTCTCAATGGTAGAACTGGTGATTCAAATACTTGGTAGACTGACTTGGAAACTGGGTCAAATAAGCCTGTGTGAAATGCATACTAATCTATACTATAATCTAAAATTTTATAAAGTAGAAGCTGACTTTGAAGTGAAAGTCATTTTGATCTGGCACATGACCTAAGGAAGATCATCCAGAAAACTGCTCCTGCATTGCTAGCTAGCTGCACAGCAGGAAAGTGAACCCTCTTGCATTTCTTTTCCCTTCAGGCTGAAGTGTCTTTCCCAGAAGAAACACCTTCTCATTGAGACTCTCAGTGGATCCCGCAATGGAATCTAATGCAACACACAATAGTACCACATTCCCATATGACAGAATCAATGTCTGGATAGGCATCATCCTTCTTCCTGTTAGTCTCTTTGGAATGGTGGGGAATGGAACCGTCATTTGGATTCTTGGTTGGTGTATCAAGAGGAATCCTTTCACCACCTACGTCCTGAACCTTTCTATTGCTGACTTCGTTGTGCTTAGCACTTTAGCTACTATTACTGTATGCTGGCTTTTACCTGGGCACCATTATAGTAACTGCCCGCTGGATCTAGGAATATTATTATTCCCTGTCTTCCTTTTCACATTCAGTATGAGTCTATTTCTACTGGCAGCCATCAGCATTGACAGGTGTGTTTGTCTCTTCTTCCCCCTTTGGCACAAGTGTCACCGGCCACCACGTTTGTCCACTACTGTGTGTGTTGCAATATGGATCCTCACCTTCCTAATTTCTGTTGTTGTTAGTGCCATCACATTCACTCATACATATCTTGACTTAACATATTATCAGTTTCTTCTGAATGGTCTGGTTTTCATGCCAGCCATGTTTATCTCCACTATAGCTATGTTAATTAAAGTCTGCTTCATTTCACCGCATCATAAGCGGGGGAAGCTTTTATCAGCCATCTTGTTGGCCCTTCTCTTCTTCATCTTCTTCGCTTTTCCAATTAATGCTTTTCAGTTTTTCGTCAGCTATGACAACCCTGCTTCATTCTATCTTCGTTACTATGCTCTCATTGGTGCATCTCTTAATAGCGCTATTAATCCTCTCATCTATTTCCTGGTAGGAAGGGATAAGAAGGCTCAGTCTAGGTGGAGAATAAAAATACTGGAGAAGCTTTTCCAGGAGGAGGAATCCTGCAGGGTCAAAATTGAATCCCCACTTGAAACAAGTCTATGATTCCACTAAGAAAACTTTAAAAAATGTTCTTGAGATTATGATCTTTGGAAGTGTAGTTCTAAGCCTCATGGCACGGTGGTTAAACTGCAGTACAGCAGCCAAAACTCTGATCACAATCTGGGTTCAATCCCAGGTAGCTGTTTCTAGGCTGGCTCAGCCTTCCATCCTTCTGAGGTGATTAAATTGAGTACCCAGATCCCTGGGGTGGGGCAATGTGTAGCCTGGATGATTAACTTGTAAACCACCCAGAGTGTGCTGTAAATGCTATGGAACAGTATATAAATAACACTTTTTTCTTCTTTTAATGACCCAGAATGCCTTTACACTTTTTGCTCAAATATAGCAGTAATTCAAGAGAGAGGGAGACAGATACTTCTATAGCCATGTTAATTAAAGTCTGCTTCATTTCACCGCATCATAAGCGGGGGAAGCTTTTATTAGCCATCTTGTTGGCCCTTCTCTTCTTCATCTTCTTCGCTTTTCCAATTAATGCTTTTCAGTTTTTCGTCAGCTATGACAACCCTGCTTCATTCTATCTTCGTTACTATGCTCTCATTGGTGCATCTCTTAATAGCGCTATTAATCCTCTCATCTATTTCCTGGTAGGAAGGGATAAGAAGGCTCAGTCTAGGTGGAGAATAAAAATACTGGAGAAGCTTTTCCAGGAGGAGGAATCCTGTAGGGTCAAAATTGAATCCCCACTTGAAACAAGTCTATGATTCCACTAAGAAAACTTTAAAAAATGTTCTTGAGATTATGATCTTTGGAAGTGTAGTTCTAAGCCTCATGGCACGGTGGTTAAACTGCAGTACAGCAGCCAAAACTCTGATCACAACCTGGGTTCATTCCCAGGTAGCTGTTTCTAGGCTGGCTCAGCCTTCCATCCTTCTGAGGTGATTTAATTGAGTACCCAGGTCACTGGGGTGGGGCAATGTGTAGCCTGCATGATTAACTTGTAAACCACCTAGAGAGTGATGTAAATGCTATGAACAGTATATAAATAACACTTTTTTCTTCTTCTTTTAATGACCCAGAATGCCTTTACACTTTTTGCTCAAATATAGCAGTAATCCAAGAGAGAGGGAGACAGATCCTTGTTACATTATAGCAAGGACCTACAGACTTTTCGACCTGCAGCCACCATTCCAATACTGATTAATTCTGTAAGTAGAGGGTCCACTGTATAGCAATAGGAAAATGCAGACATGATTTCTTATCATCTCTTTGAAAAGACCAAAGTACTGCAAATAACTTTGAGGGAAAATGTTATTCCAGCATTTAATCAGTGTCACTAGTTCTAAGCCTCATGGCACGGTGGTTAAACTGCAGTACAGCAGCCAAAACTCTGATCACAACCTGGGTTCATTCCCAGGTAGCTGTTTCTAGGCTGGCTCAGCCTTCCATCCTTCTGAGGTGATTTAATTGAGTACCCAGGTCACTGGGGTGGGGCAATGTGTAGCCTGCATGATTAACTTGTAAACCACCTAGAGAGTGATGTAAATGCTATGAACAGTATATAAATAACACTTTTTTCTTCTTCTTTTAATGACCCAGAATGCCTTTACACTTTTTGCTCAAATATAGCAGTAATCCAAGAGAGAGGGAGACAGATCCTTGTTACATTATAGCAAGAGGAAAATGCAGACATGATTTCTTATCATCTCTTTGAAAAGACCAAAGTACTGCAAATAACTTTGAGGGAAAATGTTATTCCAGCATTTAATCAGTGTCACTTCAACAATCATGTAGGAGTGAATGAAACGTACATACACATAGAGAGAAAAGGTCACAATTATAATTCTTGAATTTCCCAGCATGGAACACTACCGGAACGGATTAACCTCGCTGTGCGAGGCACCACTGTATTTCCCAGCATGGAACACTCGGCAAGAGTAGTGGCAGGCAGGAATTTATTTTAAATGTTTAGGTTTTGGTGTCAGCTCTAAGCTTAACAAAGGATATGTTTACAAACCTGCCATGGACTCATTGCTAGAATGACCATGTAGATGCCGTAGAAGCTTCAGTGGTCCTGAAGTCATGGAAGCTTACTGTAAAGATTTTTTTTTGTTTCAGCTGATTCTGAGTACGCTGTTGCACATCATCTTAGAGTAGATTGAGCTCATATTATACCAATGCTGTATTAGCTTTATTTGTTGCTGAGATATTTTGAGGCTCAACTAAAACTTCTGCTTTTGATCTTTCAGATTCTAGATGATTTGGGTTTTAGTAATTTAAAGGACTGTTCTTCCTGTGAATGTAATGTTCTGAAGTCTGGATTAAATTTTCTATCAGTCTATTTACTTGTATGCCATCAGCCCTGGGAAAAATTACTTTATGCATGTTTGAGTATTCATAAAAGTTCTCAGGTGTAAGAAGAGTGCCTTAAAAAATTAAAAATAAATTTGTGCTTTGTAGATGTAGGTACCTCCACAATACATCATCCAGCACTTTCATGCAGCTTGAAACTAACCCCTTAATCCAGTGGTCCCCAACGTTGGGCCTCCAGATGTTCTTAGACTACAACTCCCAGAAGCCTTCACCACCTCTGCTGGCCAGGATTTCTGGGAGTTGAAGTCCAAGAATATCTGGAGGCCCAAGGTTAAGGACCACTGAGGGCTTAATCATTCCTTTTTGGCCTTCATTTTTTTTGGTGCATCATCCTTCTGATTAGTCAAGTCTATGCCCTATATGCAAATTGTGAGGGAGCAAAAGGAGGTGATAGGAAAAGACAGAAAGGAAGTTGAAAACTTCTTGCGAGAAGAGCTAACAGAAAGGACTGCTAATAAGGGTGCAAATAAACCATTAATTCCTTTGTAATTCTGACATGCCTTTGCAGGTGCCATTCTTTTTAATGCCAAATGCTTCATTTTTCACAAAGTGCACATTAAAATTATTTGTGGGGGGAAGGAATATTTTGGCTGTTTACAGAAAACTTCTGTTTTGTATGTATAGAGTATTAAAATAATTACAAGCATGTAGAAAATACAACCCTGAACATCTGCATTGTTCCTTAAAAATGTAGTTTGGACAGCTGTGGAATAAAAGCCACTGTAAAAAATTATCTTGAGCCGGAGCCATCAGAGGGAAAGCTAGATTCATGTAAAATGTCATTGCCTTGCAAATGAATCTCTTTCATACCTAGCACTTGAGAGTAGAGATAAACAACTGACAAAGAAATGCAAAGCATTGGGGGCACTCCTAATGCATGAAATGTTGCAATGTATGAACATGGTCAGTAGGTGGCAATTGCTGATGTACCAAATTGCTGGACCCATAACCACCTCCTTCTGTAATTTACACTGGCAGTATTTAGTTTACCCTACAGGTGCAAAGTCCCAGTTAGTCAAAACAAAAGTGATTATGTCCCATAGCCACAATTTGCCGGTCCTGGAATTAATGTGAGTCGTACTTTGATATTTCAGATTCATGTAAAATGTCATTGCCTTGCAAACGAATCTCTTTCATACCTAGCACATGAGAGTAGAGGTAAACAACTGACAAAGAAATGCAAAGCATTGGGGGCACTCCTAATGCATGAAATGTTGCAATGTATGAACATGGTCAGTAGGTGGCAATTGCTGATGTACCAAATTGCTGGACCCATAACCACCTCCTTCTGTAATTTACACTGGCAGTATTTAGTTTACCCTACAGGTGCAAAGTCCCAGTTAGTCAAAACAAAAGTGATTATGTCCCATAGCCACAATTTGCCGGTCCTGGAATTAATGTGAGCCATACTTTGATATTTCAGTAAAAGCAACAGAAATTTCCATTAAAATATTTCTATTTATACAGATTAGTATTTAATACATTGGTAAAATTCAGTTGCCTACAGTTAAAGGGAAATGTAAACATTGTGGGGGAACTATAAGGAGGAAAGAGACACATATATATCATATTCCACAAATGAAAAAGGCCATACACACCAGATATCAATAGCACAGACACCAAGAAGTATCTGGTATTATGCACTAGCAGCAACAATGAGGCAGAACAGACAAGGAGAATGGATTTTACTCCAGATATTCAAATTGGCTTATTTGGGTGAACATTTAGAATACATTTTGTGTTTATCCAGCTAAAGGATAAACACAAAGGGTAAAGATTGTTCAAACCTATAATGCTTTTTAATCATGTGTCTTAGAGATGCACATTCTGCTTTTTGATTCTGTCTTTTAAGGATATAAGCTCTTGCAATTTTGGGTTGGATTTCTATTTCAGCATTTGTTCCTACAGTTCTTCTCATACTTTTAAGAATTTTTGGAATCCATTTGGAACTATTTTTGGATTTTGTTTTATGTTTTGTTAGACAAGCTGATGTTGTCTGGAATCATTTCACGGCTGGGATCCAATGATTTTTGTAGGTTTTTCAGGCTGTTTGCCCATGTTATGGAGGTTGTTCTTCATAATGTTTTGCCAATGTTTTGTGGCTGGGATCTTCAGAGGACTGGAGTTAGAACTCTGTGCTCTGGTGTAGTGCGTGAAATAGTTGAGTATTCATAGCTATGGGATCAGCTTTCTGTCATTTTCAAGAGAATGGGTGATTATGGTGATCAGAGTGTTTTTTGTTATGGGTATATTGGTGTGATAAGGGGGAGAGACGATCTGTCACTATGATTGATGGGTGTTGTTAGCTAGTCTTTTGTGTGCAGTGATCAATGTTCCTTGTGGCGAGCTAGAGTTCATTGACCTTTTTGCAGGCTGTATTTTTCAGTGCTGGGAGCCAGACTTTTTTGAGTTGAAACCTACAACAACCATTCAGGCTACCTTTTGCTAGGTCAATCTTGGCATCTTTTTTTCCTGCTGGCAATGCACAGACAATATTATGCTACAGTGTCGGACCATTTCCTGGCTTTTCAAACCATGAGTACAGAATCACAATATCTCATATTCATAAACCAGAGGACTTTTTAAAGAATTGAATGTTCAGCATATTTTGTCTGTAAGGAGTGTGAGATTCCCACCCCCACTCCTTTCATTTTAGTTTGCTACACCATCAACACCTGAGCCAGTTGTTTGAAACGTTCAATAAAATATTTAATTTTGGCAATCATAAGCAGGAAAACAGAGTTGATGGCTCTTAGTGATTCAGAGAATGTCAAAGAGACTTTTAAAAATATTTGCAAGATACAATTTTAAATTTTATTGATGTTCTCATAGTAGCACTTTTACATATCTGCATAGTAGATAACTTTTCTGCATAGTAGATAACTTTTCTCTTAGGGTTAAGGACAACTAGGCAACAAAAGAAAGATACACACACACGCACACACACAAGACAAGTTCCATTTTCTGTCTCCATTATTGATCTTAAATTTCTAGGAGTAAGTACAACAAACATTAGGTCCCCCAGACCAAAAATGCACCTTGCCATGTCTTCTCAGTATTGCTTTCAACTCAGTATTGCTTTCAGGATGTGAAGAATGCAAGGACATACGATCAAATCTTCCTATACTCTGCTTTCCAGCACAGAATACTGTGACACACCTTGACCACTTTCCTCTTCCCATCAGCTTACTGGGGGATTACTCGTCTCTCCCTGTTCTCAGGTATCGTTGTATATAAAGAGGAGGAAGGAGTTTCTTTTCCAGCACAGAGAGAAATTTAATCCCTATCATTTCAATCAGACAAGACCTTAGTGGGATAGGTTGCAAAGGCTGAATGAGACCCTTGGGAGTTCTTCCAAAAGGAGGAGATCATAATAGGCTGAACACCTTCATGTTGTGACTCAGTTAGCAATGACTACCTTACTGAATTCATGTAGTAGAGATGGTCTGTTGCAGTTTCGGACAAGAAATCTCTTTGAGTCTGCTATTCTAAGCAAAATTTATTAGTGCAGCTTTGGACCCAAAGTCTAAGGGCCTCCATGTAATTTAGAATTAAATTTGAAGCCGATGCAGTCCATGAGTAAATCCAGATCAGGCTGGAAACCCTAACCACAATTCTGTTTAGTCAGCACTACAACAGAAAAATGAATCCTCCTCTGTCTTTTTTTCCCCTAGCACTAGTATCCTTAGCAGAAGAAGTGCAAGAGCAGGGAATGAATACGATGACCAACATCACCCTTTCATTGATACCCACAACGGACCCTGTGATGGAATCCAATGTGACAGACATTGACATCCAGTTCCCAAACAACAGTCTTCCAGAGAAAGATCATTTAAAATGGACTGTGGTATCCATCTTCATTCTTCTTGTTAGTCCTTTTGGAATGATGGGGAATGGAACCATCATCTGGATTCTTGGTTGTTGTTCCAAGAGAAACCATTTCACCACCTATATCCTGAACCTTTGCATTGCTGACTTTGGCGTGGTTATGATTTTAGCTATATATAGCATATGTTGTTTTTTATCTGGGCTCTATCGTATTGACTGCCCTTTTAATCTAAAAATAGTATTATTCTTCCTCTTCCTTTTCACCTTCAGTACAAGCCAATTTCTACTGGCCGTCATCAGCATTGACAGGTGCATTTGTATCTTTTTCCCATTTTGGCATAAGTGTCACCGGCCGCCATATTTGTCCACCATTTTGTGTGTCGCAATATGGATCCTCACCTTCCTAATTTCTGCTTTCAATGTTACTTTTGAGCTGTCCAATACCTATTTTCACGTAGTGAACCATCAGCTGTTCCTGAATGCTGTGATTTTCATGCCAGCCATGGCTATCTCCACTATAGCCATGTTAATTAAAGTCTGCTTCATTTCACCACACCATAAACGGCGGAAGCTTTTAAGAGCCATCTTGTTGGCCCTTCTCTTCTTCCTCTTCTTTGCTTTTCCAATGAATGTCACTGAACTGTTCTTCATAGGTCACATTCCTGTTTCATCCTACCTTGATTATTATGGTCCCATCGGTGCATCTCTTAATAGTGCTATTAATCCTGTCATCTATTTCCTGGTAGGAAGATGTAAGAAGGCTCAATCTAGGGGGAAAATAAAGAAAATGTTAGAGAAGCTTTTCCAGGAAGAGGAATCCTGTGGGGAAGCAGTTGAATGTGCCATCGAAACACATCTATGATCCCACAAAGAGAAGATTATGATATTCGGTGTTAACGTTCTAATGATCCTGACACCTTTATACTTTTTGGTCAATTATATTGGTAAATTTATTTATTATTTATTGATCTTATATGCCGCCCATTTAGACATAGTCTACTCTGCCTTCTATATCCAAAAACTAAAAGATATTTGTTACTTATTCTGTAATTAGAACAGTATAGAGATGATATTTAACATATTCTTCCATGTATAAGATGTCCCTATTTATAAGACACACACACCCCACTCTTCTAAGAAAACTTAGCTTTGAGTATTCAGCCTCTGGGCTCAGAATGCTTGGACATTAGGAGTCCCTGTTGAATCTTAGCCTGCAGGCTCCACCTCCAACAGGGTGTGCTCTAATTGGTTTGTACAGATTCAGCTGACGTCAGTTCTATAAGGCTCATGATTGGAAGAAGCCAAGCCTTGTGATTTAAGGAAGCCTATTTACGGAGGCAAGGTACAGGCCATTTTGTTCTCAGCTTACTTCTGTGTAAAAGATGCCCTCAATTTTTAGTGTAATCGTTTTAGGAAAAAGTAGTGTCTTATATACAGAAAAATATGGTATATGCCTTTGAAAAGACTGTTAACAGAAGCACTGCAAGTGGCGTTGAGGAAAAAAGGTATTGCATCATACATATTCATTCCTTTCCTGCATGTTAAGCAAACAAACTTAAAAAGCTGTCATATATCCCTCAGTTTGGAAAGGCGAGAATTTTTTTGTATTTTATTTTTGCATATTGTTTCTGATAATGACACTTCAATAATCTTGATAGAATTGAGGATATGTACACACAGCCACAATTATAGTCACTAGACGTGGAACACTAGTTTTTCCTGCCATTTTGCAGGATGGCAAAATGGCAGAAAAAACTTTGTGCCATTTTGTATACAACAGGCATACATCCAACTGGAGTAAAGTGATTGGTCAGAGTCCTATTGGAGTTAATGTAAGCTTTTGTAACTTCCTATGCCTAATAGGAGCTAATTGGTGAGGGGTGGATCACATCTTGGTTCATTAATCAGTGCCTTTATTGCTGGACTGCTACCTTACTCCTGTAATTTACACTGACAGCATCTCACTTATCCTACAGGTGCAAAGTCCCAGTTATTCAAAACAGAAGCAACTATCTGCCACAGTAATAACTTGCCAGTCTCATAATTAATGGGAGCCATATTTTGCCATCCCAGTAAGAACAATAGAAATGTTCATTAACATTTTTTCTGACAATTTACAATCAGTAATTTACTACACCAGCAAAATTCAGTTGTCTGTTATTGAAGGGAAATACAAACATCTGAGAGAAATATAAAGAGGCAAGAGACACACACATGCCAAATAACATAGATAACACAGGCCACACACGTTGGGTACCAACAGCACAGATAGCAAAGAGCATCAGGCATCATGTAGCAGCAGCAACAGCAGCACAAAGGCAGAACAGACAAGAACAACATGGATTCCCTTCCATAGATTCAAACTAATTTGGTTGGGTGAGCACTTAGAATATTTTTCAGGTGTGTCCAATAATATGCTTAAATAATAATGACTGTTCAAGTTTATAATGCTTATTAATTATGTGTGTTAATCACTCTGATTTTTTATTGTCTTTTAAGGCTCTAAACCCTTGGAATTTAGACTGAAATATGATTCAAAAAGCAAAGTGTGCTGCTTATATAGCGCCCTATACTCCTTAAAGCACTCTCTGGCTGGTTTACGAATTAATTATGCAGGCTACACATCCACACATATATGCCCAGTGATCTGGGTACTCAATTTACCAACTCTGGAAGGATGGAAGGCTGAGCCAACCTTGAGCCGGCTATCTGGGATTGAACCCTGAGTTGTGAGCACAGTTTGGGCTGCAGTACAGCAATTTAACCACTGTGCCACAAGGCACTTTGAATTCTTTTTTGTAAACTTTATAGCTAAAAGCTTATAACTCAAATAGATTTTTCTAACATAAGTTCTATTTACAACATTTTGCTTTTTGGATTATTTCTTAATTGCAACTTTTCATAGTTACAAGAATTTTGGAGGACAAACAAACCTGCAGCTTTTTCACAAAGATGCAGGAACTGATTTCTGTTTAAATATTTTTGTGTAGAGTTCTGCTGATAACTGTAAGCATTTTTGCAATACATTTTGAACTGTTATTTTTCCCCCAGTTCCATTGTATGCTTCTGAAACATAGAAGCAATGCGGATGAATAAAGCTTTAGAGTGAGACAATTTGGTGTTGTCTGGAATCATTTCAACAATAGAGCCTATTGATACCAGATGAATTTGGTTGTGATTGAAAAATAGACACCAAGCAAGGGGCAATCCCAGGAGGTAACACCTTTTTTTAATCAGATAATCATTTCTTATCCAAAAAAGCAATTGTCATGACTGTTCTTTGACCAATGATAGTAAGAAGACCAGGGTATCCCATTGTCGTTTAGTCATTTAGTCATGTCCGACTCTTTGTGACCCCATGGACCAGAGTACGCCAGGCCCTCCTGTCTTCCACGGCCTCCCGGAATTGTGTCAAATTCATATTGGTCGCTTAGGTGACACTGTCCAACCATCTCATCCTCTGTCATCCCCTTCTCCTCTTGCCTTCACACTTTCCCAACATC